AAACATCTGGGAGTTCCGGGGGCGACTATGAATCTGAAGGCTTCCTAGACGCAGTACAGGACAATTTTTTGAAACCACTAATTACAGAACCTACTAGAGGTGACAATATATTAGAAAATATTATCAGAGATATCACAGTAGGGGAAGAACTAGGTAACAGTGATCACAGAGAAATCAGGTTCACCCTAAATTGGGAAACGAAAAACAATGACAATATGGTCAGAGTCCCAAACTTTCGGTTGGCGGATTATTAGGGGTTAAGAAGGTACCTAGGTGAGGTCACCAGGGAACAGTCACGTCAGTTCCCAGTAGGGAGGGGTAAGGTCATAGATGACACAACAATTGATCATGACTATAATATATTCACTAGTATACTTCATAAAGCACAAGAACAAAATATACCATACAGAAAAATTAGGTCAAATAAGAATGAGCCAAGGTGGATGACCAGAAAACTTAAACATGACATAGGAACAAAGAAAGGAATATATAAGAAATTAAAGGGAGAGGAGGAGCAGCTCAGAAACAGGTATAATGAACTATCTAGGAATGTTAAGAAAAATGTAAGGAAAGCAAAGAGAGACTATGAAATCAAAATAGCAAGAGAATCCAAGGCGAATCCCAAGGGATTTTTCCAGGTATATAGGACAAAGGTCAAGGACAAAGTTGGGCCTTTAAAGTCAGGGAGGGGAGAATTGATAAATGGCAGTGAAGAAATAAGCAAAGCATTGAACAGCTACTTATCAGTTTTCACAGACGAAATTTGCGATGAAATTCCAGAGGTGGAACTGATATTTAAGGGAAAGGAAGAAGAGAAATTAAAGACTATCACTATCAGAAAAGAGGATGTTCTTAAGAAGATAAATAAACTAAAGAAAACAAAATCCCCAGGGCCGGATGAAATTTTCCCTTGAGTCTTGAAAGAGCGTAGGGAACAGATTAGCGGACCCCTCGTAAACTTATTTACAAAATCATTAGACACTGGAGTTGTGCCAGACTTGTGGAAACAGGCAAATGTAATACCCATATTCAAAAAGGGAGACAGAGCATCAGCGTCAAATTACCGGCCGATCAGTTTGACGTCAGTAGTGGGGAAATTTCTAGAATCAATTATAGCAGATAGCATCCGATCGCATCTAGAGAAAAGCAAATTAATCTACGACTCTCAACATGGGTTTACAAAGGGAAAATCTTGTCGAACAAATCTGCTAACGTTTTTTAGGAAAGTCTTCGAGGTAGAAGATAATGACGAAAATTACGATGTTATTTACTTAGACTTTAGCAAAGCATTTGACAGAGTACCGCATCAGAGGCTTCTGAGAAAAATTAAGGCTCATGGTATCGATGGGAAAGTTTTAAATTGGATAAAATCATGGCTCACCGATAGAACACAGAGGGTCAGCGTAGATGGTGTTAAATGCGAGTGGGGCCGTGTAACCAGTGGGGTTCCCCAGGGGTCAGTACTAGGCCCACTCTTATTCATAATCTACATAAACGATTTAGATGCTGGGATCAGCAGTGACATAAGCAAGTTTGCGGATGACACCAAAATAGGGCGGCAAATTAATTCAGGGCAGGATGCAAATGCATTACAGGAGGATCTAAATAAACTGCAGGGGTGGTCTGAAAAATGGCAAATGAAATTCAACACCAGCAAGTGCAGCGTACTTAATATTGGAAGAACAAATACTTATAATGTATACATCCTTAACAACATCAACCTAGAGAAGTCGACTTGTGAAAGAGACCTAGGGGTACTTGTAAGCCCGGACCTATGGCCTAGAAAACAGTGCGTTAATGTTCGAAATAAGGCAAACAGAGTATTGGGTTTTATATCTAGAAGTGCAAGTAACAAGAGTGCAGAGGCCTTATTGCAACTATATCTTGCGCTAGTCAGGCCGCACCTCGATTATGCGGTTCAGTTCTGGTGCCCCTATTATAGAATGGATATAAATTCACTAGAGCCGGTGCAGCGAATAATGACAAAAATGATTCCGGGACTTAGAAACCTTCCATATCAGGATAGGTTAAAGAAACTTAACTTGCATTCCCTAGAAAGACGAAGAGTGCGGGGAGATATGATAAAAGTATTTAAGTGGGTGAAAGGAATCAATGAAGGGGACATAGATAAAGTTCTTATAATATCCGAGCAGGATAGGACTCGGAGCAACGGATTCAAGTTGGATAAGTTTAGGTTTAGGAGGGAGATAGGAAGAAACTGGTTCACAAATAGGGTGGTGGACGAGTGGAACAAGCTTAGCAACTTTGTAGTAAGTGCGGGAACTCTGGAAAGTTTCAAAAGGAGGCTAGATAGATTCATGGATGATAGAGAGTGGTAGTAACTCTCGACTAGAGCTGCCATGCACAGGCCAACCGGCCTATTGCAGACTCCTTATTTTCTTATGTTCTTATGTAAGCTCCCCGGGAAAATTTTGAAATTTGAACACTTCTTTGGAGAATTTTGAAGCCATATGCAGCTATATTGAGGAAATTAGAACATTGAGAAATTTTTAATTAACTGTATATTTATTGATAGTGTACAAATTCCCAACACACACACACACACAAAAGTGAGACATGACTGGAGGCATTCATGTGGTTTCAAGTCGGTTCATAGGAAAACCAGGTATTCATGAATTTCAAGGAGTAGCTAGCCTAATTTCTATCACGCTTCTTGCTGAACATAGTTTTACGTGATGGCGTAGATAAAAATGAATTTTAAAGAATGAAAATAAAATTAATCCAAATGAATAAACAAATAAATAAAATATTGTAATATGTGGAGGCCCCTGGGCAGCTCCCCACTTTGCCCACTCCTGAATCCGGCCCTGCTGTTAGCAGTACTTTCTCAGAGCAGCACTACCACCAGGAGTTGTTCGGTTTCGTTCCTTTTTTCCACAGACGTTCTTATCACTATATTAAGTATTTTAAAAGAGCTGACAACTGTTTATTTTTTTCTTACATAAATCCCCTGCAGTGGGCGGAGCATTGAGGATGAGGGAAATTGCAAGATAAAACACGGTAAAAACTGATCATATGACACTAAAATGATGTCTCTATGTGCTTTGTAGGCGAAGAAATTAATTATTTACCGTAAATACTCCCCCGAAAAATTTGCTAAGTCAATGAGTGTCGTTTGTTTACAACAGATTCAGATTTGCCCCCGAGGGGGCTAGTTTATTGGGCACCCCCTTACATCCTGTGCAAGGTGAAGCGTAGAAGCGTTTACAGCGCCCAACAGGGAAGCATGCTAAGTTCATACTTGCCTTTATGACTCGTACATTAAGGGCGTAAAAGCCTGAAGGGTCATAGGTTCTGTCAAGTTACATTAAGTGAGAGAATGATGAGTGTGTGGGGGGAAAGTTCCCGGTACATTTTATCTGTTTATGGCAAAGAGTGGCAGGTCCCTAATAATGTCAAATGCCAGGCCTGTGACTGTTTGTTTACAACTAACCCACTCAGTACTTTCTTGTTAAAAAAAACCCCGTAAAATTACACCAATACGCTTCGAAATCTAGCGCAAATAAATAGTTTCTGAGAGTAGCCCCCCGCCCCCATCTCAGAATCTAGAGATTTGCGATAAAAATCAAGGTAAAAAGTGTTCAAAACACATTGAAAACCATCGGAAAAACTTAACCTAACTGGGGAGCTCCACAGTCGTTCGATGTTTTGCGTGTGTACCGCCACGTACGAACATACATAATAAAATGTGAAATATCTCACCTTAAACGTAATTTGCACCAGAAAAGCCATTGAAGAAGTGTCCTGGAATTGTCAAAACTACAGATTGGAACTATACAATTCCCGAGATTCATGTAGTGGCAACAAGTGAAATAATACCACTTTCACTGGTACCAGATATCAAAATAAGTACTTTCTGTTTAATATGGCAGAGGACTGCACCCCCCGGCTATGAAGTTAGGTAAGTTTCTTTGGTTGCTTAAGTTAGGTTCTACTAAATGTTACCTCTTTTAAAATACCTATTATAATATCCGTGGAATAAATGAACAACTCTTTTTGGTGGCGGTGCTGTTCTCAGACATTACCCAGTTAACTATTGCCAACAGGTTAAGAAGCATGTAAGGTGAGGCAAGTGAGTGACTTACAGGGTACCGTCTCGCCCTCCAATGAGGTATAAACCGCACCACCAACTCAGAATTAACATAAAAACATAAGAATGGAGGAAACTGCAGCGGGCCTATTGGCCCACACTGGGCAGTCCCGTTTACACCTAACCCCTATTGCTCATATAAGCATCCAACCTATGTTTGAAGCTATTCAGCGTATTCGAGTTAATGATGATATTTGGTAACTTGTTCCATTCATCCACTACTCTGTTTCCAAACCAGTGTTTACCTATTTCACGCCTAAATCTAAATTTGTCTAATTTAAAACCATTGTTACGAGTTCGCTCCTGGTTGGATAGTTTGAGTACCTTTGTAATGTCCCCTTTGTTTAGCCCTGACTTCCACTTATACACCTCTATCAGGTCGCCCCTCGCTCTACGTCTCTCGAGGGAGTGCAAATTAAGATGCTTTAACCTGTCCCTATACTCAAGGTTCCTAATGCCCGGGATTAGTCTTGTCATTCTCCTCTGAATTCTTTCCAATGATTCTATATCCATTCTGTAATACGGTGACCAGAACTGAACTGCGTAATCCAGGTGTGGTTTCACAAGCGCAAGATACAGTTTTAGGATGACCTCGCTAGTCTTGTAACTATAAGACCAAACACTGTTTTTCTCTACCCACGACAGGGGCCTTCAAATACTGTAATATCATCTTTTACGAACACATAGGCAAATTTCAATTAGTGTAAAGGTGTCTAATTAATGTACTACTTAGTATGCTGACCAGCCGAGTAGCTTTCGACAACATAAAACAAGCTTGTGGTCAGACGCTAACTTGTGAAAATCTTCTGCAATTCGTTAATCAGTGTCATAATTTGATCTCGAGATCATGGAGATTAGTTCTGATACACAATAATGTGGACAAGTTTACCTTATAGCCCAGTTCATGTGCATGTGAAGGTGCTTGATCATGTACTGCGAGAGGACCTTGTGCTTCTTGTGTCGTGCACTCTCATCCAAGTTGAGTTTGTCTAGGCCTGCCAGGATGGTGGTGAACAGCCCGCCCTCCATATTCTTCCACAAGTAGCGGGGCACATAGAACATGATGGCCTGAAGTACCAGTACAAATGGTACCCACTGGTAGTAGGCGTGGTAAACTATCTCGTCCTCATCCTCGTGCATGCCCACGCCAGGGTACGCCACCCCATCGCCTAAGGGCTTGTCCCAGTGCCTTGGCACGCTGAAGGTTGACATGATGAAGCAAAAGGTGTTGAGAACGTTTGTTGGCACGGCCTTCGAAATACACTGGATAGGGGCACCTATTAATTCCTTGGCTGTCACCAGAGCGCCAGAGACGATAAATACCACAAAGGTCACTCGGTAATGGAGGTGGAACACTGCATTATCCACTTGGGCATTGTGTTTCTTTAATACTTTCGCTGCTGCTAAATATTTCAGCATTTTGGCGACTTAAATGAATAACTCAGGCACCAGAAAAAATTACAATTAAAAATTAGCAATAAGATTCGTAGATCTAAGTAACACAGATAATAGCCAACTCCTTCATACAATCACTATAATTTTTTCAATTTTTTGTTTAAATAAATAAGCGACACAGACTCTGCTACTACCCACACATCCGACAGTTCACACGCCACTAACAAATGAACCTGGCGGCTGGAGAGAGGCGGACTGGCGGGGCTCGCCGTTCGCGAGACCTGAGAACTCTACGACTCTCAATGGAGTTTTCAGTTAGTCTGTTTTTATTAATTATTCATACGTGAATATAGAATAAATTATGTATATATGGTGATTAATTTAATCCATTATATACCCAATCTTATCAGAATTTGGCCTAGTTTATACAACCAAGACAATAATAAACAATAATGTAGAGTATGGCAATAAGTGGGCAGATGACGCAACGGGAGATTTGCAATTTAAAGGCCCCTACATTGTATATTGAGCTGTTTACAGTTTATAATTTTACTAAATATTAAGCATCCTTATGAAACTTGTTCAATGACATTGCATATTAACTGAATATCTTCAATTTTTCACATAACCTTAAAGGTGATGGAGACGGCAAGGTGTGTATCTGACTTTAACATAGTCCAGTCTGTGAGGTGGGTATACCTCAACACCACCAATGTCCTTCTATTGACGAGTCACTATTGCTTCACTCTTGCCTCAACCAACCACAATGTCCATTACATGTTAAAGTTCACGTAGGAAGTTGGTGGTGGTAACCGCGCCAGCCGGGACCAAAGGCCTTCTAATATTGCTGGAGGCATAATGCCAGTCCGTAGGCCTATTTCTTATACCTTTTTTCTAGTGTTAAAATGTAATAGTATAGACAGAAAAAATCTTTGCATTTTGAAATGTATGTTTTGACATCGTAATGGAAATCTCGATAAAATCAAACATTTTACCGATTAAGAATTGGATAAACGTACAAAAATGTATCCCACCTAGACAGCAATATTATTGGGTGAAGGGATAAGGGAGGGGCGCTCTGGGGCAGGTAGAGGGGGGAGTCTTGCTCAGAAGAGAAAAGACTTAAGATTTAACTACGCTGGGTTATGGAGATAATGTGGGGTAAGAGGCAGGTATTTACAGCTGGACTGGTATTCTGTGCGAGAAAGGAAAAATCGAGTGTTTAAAGTTGGAAGCCCCACAACAGGTATTTTTATGCTTTGGATATTTGTTCTGTTGTCGGTTAGGTACTTTTTGACTAACTAGAAGTTGATAAAATTGGACGAAACTTTGTGGAAAGGTTTTTAGAATCTATTAGTAGATAATTTTAAACGAGAATGCACATAACCTATTAGAACTTGACTTACCTAACCTACCTAACCGACAGACATGTGACGTATGACTGTAACAATATGATTCTATTTCACTACAGCTAGCGTATTTACAGCCTTCCCTCCCATGTAAAAAAAAATATATATATAATACAAATAGCTTTCGTCTACCCACGCATCCATCCCCTACCCCTATCCCTCGTCCTCCCACAGAAAGCACCTCACGCCGAGGATGTTGCCGAAGGACAATTGTTAATTCTGATTTCCACGGTAACCTTGAAATTTATATTGAAGTTTTCTACCTAAAAATAGTTGTATGCATATAATATAAATAAGCATATATAAGCCTAAGTCACTAGAAAATAAAAGATTTAATAAATTTAGTATACTGTAGGACTATGAGTGTTCGGCAACGTTCTGTTAGCCTATAAATAGTGTCCTAAGCCTAAGCCGACCCTCCATGTTCAAGGTGGCTGTCTGCTGCTGCCTTATGTTCGGTGTGTAATGTAGTAACGAGAATGGAATGTGGATTTTTGGTTGATAATTTACTTTTATTATAAGAATTAAGGTTGATATTCGTTTTAATCCCAACAGTTATTTCATATTTTTTTACCATTATCACTAGGATTCTTTTTTAGGTTATATTAGGTCAGGTCAGGTCAGGTCAGGTCAATTAAAAAACACCAAAATACACTAGGAAAAATCTCATACCAATTGGGCAAATTTTAACCGAAATTAAAAATTTCTGTTAATGAAAGGAATACAAGTTTCTGTACATAAATAGCGAGGGCCCGTGCGTGTCTTCCTGTGGTCTAGGAACCAGATTGTAGCCTGTATTTCCTGCAAGCAACGTTCCTCCCCTCAATACCGCCACCTCCTGCAAGACGTTTCCTGGGGATTTAAATGCCTTGAAATAATGATATTCGATGGGACGGGTAGACCAAGGTAATGTGCTGTGATTGCTGGTGTTATTGTTGCTCCGACTGCTGTAACCACACCAACACTATCATCAACCACCACGACCACCAACTACCACTACTGTCATCAACTAATAGACAAAACTCCATAAGCTCCCGTCTTTATTTAAATAGTGTAAACATTTGAATAGTTTACAACATCTCGGTGTAGTGACTGTAACGCGCCCTACAGTCAACACTTGACTGCTGATAACCACCACTATTTTTGGTACTACTATTTCATGTCTCTTAACCCTTGAATGACAATGTTTTTACCCTTTGGGGGTCGTTTGAAAGATTTTAACCATCGTCAAATAAAGGGCGATCTAGGCGAGTAAATACCAAGATCATAATCATTTTAGATACTACAGGTATTTTTTTTATCTTGGTAAACATTGTGAAGATTTTGATATTCCGACTGTTTAGGTGCGGCCACAAATGCCCGGCCGGAGCCTCGGGTCGGTGAGCCGTGAGGCTGGCTCAGCCTCTCTTCCACCCCCCCGTCCTCTCTCCCTGCCAACACTACCAGTTTTCAAATATTTATTGTTAATTTCTTCTTATCCAATGGACACCACTAAATAAATCTACAGCAAATTAGCTGTCACCATTAGTCAACAGTTTAGGTATTCCTTCCCCATAGGTTATAAATGTACTGAACATTACTATCGGAATATTGATTGGCAACTCGTATGAAAGTGAAGGGAAAATTTTTGACCATCGATCACGCTGGCCGCTTCTGCCAATCCTGCAGTCAGGAGATAATAGCGACGTCCGAACACGGCCAATATTTTTTGCTCGTGTATATTATTTGCCACTTTGGTTTTTATACACTACCGGGAAGCACAATTGAGGCGGAAGTTGTTTTTCTTACGGTGCCAATTTAATCTGGCCAGTTGTAGTTTTGAGGAAACGATATCAGTAACGTAGTTCTGATGGATAAAATAATGTTTTTTTGTTGTATACGAAATTATTTAAAGTATTCATTATACTAAATCTTCAAGTGTTATGGGCAATTTGTTGTAATACCAGGAGAAAAGAGAAACACCCTGATATTAATATTGTTTACAGTAAAAAAAATATCCATTGCAAGTCTACGAAAGGTGTCCCTATGTAATTAATTTTTAGGGATATGAAATATGAATTAGATATGCTGGGTACACTGATCCCGTTATAACACAATATACTGTAGATGACTTACTGTGTTCCTGTGACAGTGTAGTGAACCCTGTCAGCCACCGCTAACATAGGTCTGCCTCAATATGTATGATTATATTTGTATGTGTGCGTGTGTGCCTTTATTTACATGCCTGTGTACATGTATCTGATTGTGTATGTATGCATGTATGCATAACTGCTCGTGTATGAATATGTGTACATATAACTCCTTGTGTAAGTGTGTGTAGGTGTGTGTGTGTAGACATATACTGTAATTACTTGTGTATGCTTGTGTACGTGTGCATGTCTACCTATGTATCAGCCTCCGTGTGTATGCATTACCGGCTATGTATACATGTGTGCATGAGGAGCTGACGTGGATGTTTACTTTGGTAATTTAAACACAGAGGCAAGACCTGATCCCAGAGAGCAGCGCGTTACACCTGCCTCTCTCAGGTGTGTGTGTGTGTACGTGTGTGTGTGACTTAATATGCGATTACACTTGGATTATGCAGTTCAGTTTTGGTCACTGTACTATAGATTGGATACTGTTTCACTAGAAAGAACTAAACAGATTACAAAATTAATCCCGGGCGATATGAAATGTATAAATGAAAGATGGAGCTAAATAAAGGTGATATAACTAAGGTGCTTAAATTATGAAATCAAGAGGGAACACACAGGAATGGTTTTAAATTAGATAAAAATACCTTTAGGATGAAAATGAGTAAACATTGGCTCAGAAACAGGGTTGTGGATGAGTGTAATAAGCTACCAAATGCCATCATTAACTCGAACTTGCTGGGAAGCTTCAAATAATAAGGTGGACAGATATGTGAGCGATTTGGGTTGGGTGTAAACAGGGTTGCCTCGTATGACCATTGCGGTTTGTGCAGCGCCTCTACATCCACGTACTAGGTTGTGACTCGGGAATGCCTGAACCTCAGCCCAGCACATACTGTACACACCCACTCTCTCTAAGTTCACTGGCTCCGTCACTGTACCCGATTCCTCTCTCTCTCTCTCTCTCTCTCTCTCTCTCTCTCTCTCTCTCTCTCTCTCTCAGGGGGAAGGCTGTGGGGCTGGTGTCATCTCAGTTGGACGATTGCTATTTGGACGATCATCTGTTAAATGCGCTTTTTTTCTACCCCACTTAGATCGCATAAAACAGACGACCGTTCAGATAAAAATCGTCAAGTAAGATGCATCTATTATGGGAGGCAGGTAATATGAACTGACCGTTTCTTTCTTTCTTTCTTTCTTCTCCAACATAACACTAACAGGTAAACCTCACATTAAAAAGGGAATGTTAAGTGTAGGTCAAGCTAAGTGTATAAATATTTTCCCTTCGTAATTTACTGGAGTATAAGCAATCATTTTTATGTTACTTTCGTACTTATTGGCAAAGGGGAGGGGGTACATCAACGTTTTTCACCTGGGTGTGTGTGTGTGACTCACTTGTGAACATGACTTTCATAAGAGTCTGCTGCCAGAGACAACCAGGGCTGTGTGTGTGTGTGTGTGTGTGTGTGTGTGTGTGTGTGTGTGTGAGTGTGTGTGTGTGTGTGTGTGTGTGTGTGTGTGTGTGTGTGTGTGTGTGTGTGTGTGTGTGTGTGTGTGTGTGTGAGTGTGTGTGTGTGTGTGTGTGTGTGTGTGTGTGTGTGTGTGTGTGTGTGTGTGTGTGTGTGTGTGTGTGTGTGTGTGTGTGTGTGAAGACTTAGCAGCAGGTGTGGGTATAAGAGAGGCAGGTGTAGCAGATGCAGGGTAAGAGAAGAAAGGAGGGGCAGCA